AACCTTTGCTAACCATGCAACAACTTATTTTACCCCTTAAAATTGATCCTTTACACTTGATATAATAGACTGCATTAATTTAAAGATAAAGTTTAGTAGAAAGTGTCCTTAGCCGGTTTAAAGTGAATCCCCCGATAAATTACGTCGAGGACTGGGCCTTTTTATCCCGAATCCGCTGCGAACTTTCGATCAAGCGATCAGTTTAGTTTGAAGACAGATTGCGATGAATTTTTCGGCAAGCCGTCTCCACGCGATCGAATCGAAAGTAATTTTTCGTTCTCGTTTATTAAAAAATCCCCCCTCCCCTCCTCAGTTCCGTTCGGGCGACGTTTGACAAATTCGCAAAAAATTGCCGCGCGTAAAAACGTCTAATCGAGACAAATATACGACGTGTAAATGCAGATCGCGCCGTTGTTGTTAAGCAACACTGAATAATTACGACGTCGACTGAAACCCTCAATTTTAAACTTTTTGGGCCTTTGCACGTGGCGCCCTAAAATTACCTCCGCCCCTATCACCCTACCTTACGGCCTTTGTCCCTTTGTATACGGCGTACTTTATTTATTTAAATTTCCTCAACTTGTTTCATCGATCCCGAATAAAGTTACGAGCTCTCGCCCCTAACGCGATTTCGCTGTAAACGAAATCTCATTTTGGAAATCTTGATTAAAACTATTTGTCGGCGTAATTAAATAAACAAATGGCGTACAAGTTGCATTTACTCCCGCTTAAATGGAGACGATCGCTTTTGTGTCGACGGAACTTAATTTTAAACGCGCGTTGACAACCGCCTGCCTCTTTGTCTTTTGTATGAAACAATCTCTCATAAGTTTGATTAATATTTGTAGTAGTTTATCAAATACAAATGTTACATGCGGTAAAGGATAGGCATCATTTTTCTTACGGTTCGAGAAGATAAAAAGATGACGAGTGAATTTGGAGAAAGATCGAGAAAATATCAACACGTAGAAGAGATTTCGGAGAGATAATGGACCTGTGGGGGGGGGGGGGGGGATAAAAAATTATAGTAGGCAAGAAGAGAGATCGAAAAGAGAATGTATGTTGGAGTGAATGAGGAGAATGGAAGAGCAATAGGAAAATTGAAATAGAAGGGAGAGAGTATAGGAGATCAAACTGATAAATAGAGTTGAAGATGGAACAATGTAAAAGACTAAATTAAAGAAATAAATTAACAGGAGAAAAGAAGGAAAATATGAGGAGCAAGGAGGGTAGCGTTGTTTTGTAAACTACCACACGCAGACGTTATTTTGGTTTCAACACCTTCGACTAGGATGGGCCACCCTATATGCGAAGTATCTCAAATTTTTTAGTGTGAAGTTTCGTTAGAATTTGTATTTCAGTATTTGTTTTTCCATTTAGAAGTTTGTGCATATGCACAAGTTTCGTTTTAATTTTGCAGTGATATCTGCAGGTATTTTACGTTGGGGAACCTAACCTATGGAATACCCCCCAGCCACACACAGGTATACATTCCAGAAAAGAGGAACTGTTGGAATTCCAATAACAATTCGTGAGGGAGCATTTCTTTTCTGGAATGCATACCTGTGTGTAGCTGGGGGGTATTCCATACCCCCAGGGCCCCCGGTCTTAAGACTCCCCACCAAATTGTTAAACTTTCAGCACTTTTATGTTCATTTTCAGGGAGGGCTGTCAAACTTTCTTTTCCTAAAAGTGGGGAGTCTAAGACCGGGGGGTCTGGGGGGTATGGAATACCCCCCAGCCACACACAGGTGTACATTCCAGGATAGAGGAACTGTCGGAATTCCAATAACAATTCGTGAGGAAGCATTTCTTCTCTGGAATGATCTGTGTCTGGCTGGGGGGTATTCCATACCCCCCAGCCCCCCCGGTCTTAAGACTCCCCACCTAATTGTTAAACTTTCAGCACTTTCATGTTCATTTTCAGGGAGGGCTGTCAAACTTTCTTTGCCTAAAAGTGGGGAGTCTAAGATCGGGGGGTATGGAATACCCCCCAGCCACTACACACAGGTATACATTCCAGGAAAGAGGAACTGTCGGAATTCCAATAACAATTCGTGAGGGAGCATTTCTTTTCTGGAATGCATACCTGTGTGTAGCTGGGGGGTATTCCATACCCCCCCAGGTCCCCCCGGTTTAAGGACTCACACACCTATTGTTAAACTGTTCAGCACTTTTCATGTGTCATTTTTCAGGAGGCGTCCAAACTTTCTTTGCCTTAAAAGTGGAGTCTAAGACCGGGGGGTCTGGAATTACCCCCAGCCACTACACACAGGTGGGTACATTCTCAGGAAAAGATGAACTGTCGGGAATTCAATAACAATTCGTGAGGGAGCATTTTCTTTTCGGGAATGCATACCTGTGTGTAGCCTGGTAGGGGTATTCCATACCCCCCAGGCCCCCCGGTTTCTTTAAAACTCCCCACCTAATTGTTTAAACTTTTCAGTAACTTTTATGTTTCATTTCAGGGAGGGCTGTCAAACTTTTCATTGTTCCTAAATGTGGGGAGTCTAAGACCGGGGGGTCTGGGGGGTATTGAATACCCCCCAGGCCCCCTGCGTCTATAAGACTCCCCACCCAAATTGTTAAACTTTCAGCAACTTTTATGTTCATTTTCAGGTGAGGTCTGTCAAACTTTCTTTGGCCTAAAAAGTTGGTGAGTCTAAGATACGGGGGCCTGAGCGGGTATTGAATACCCCCCAGCCACACACAGTATTACATTCCAGGAAAGACGGAATTGTGGAAATACAATATCAATTTCGTGAGGAGCATTGTTCTTTTCTGGGAATTCATACCTGTGTGTAGCTGGGGGGTATTCCATACCCCCCAGGCCCCCCGGTCTTAAGACTCCACACCAAATTGTTAAACTTTCAGCACTTTTATGTTCATCTTCAGGGAGGGCTGTCAAACTTTCTTTGCCTAAAAGTGGGGAGTCTAAGATCGGGGGGTCTGGGGGGTATAGAATACCCCCCAGCCACACAGGTATGCATTCCACGAAAGAAATGCTCCCTCACGAATTGATATTGTAATTCCAACAATTCCTCTTTTCTGGAATGTATACCTGTGTGTGGCTGGGGGGTATTCCATACCGCCCATACCCCCGGTCTTGAGACTCCCCACCAAATTGTTAAACTTTCAGCCCTTTTATGTTCATTTTCAGGGAGGGCTGTCAAACTTTCTTTTCCTAAAAGTGGTGAGTCTAAGACCGGGGGGTCTGAGGGGTATGGAATACCCCCCAGCCACACACAGGTATACATTCCAGGAAAGAGGAATTGTTGGAATTACAATATCAATTCGTGAGGGAGCATTTCTTTCCTGGAATGCATACCTGTGTGGCTGGGGGGTATTCTATACCCCAAGGCCCCCCGGTCTTAAGACTCCCCACCAAATTGTTAAACTTTCAGCACTTTTATGTTCATTTTCAGGGAGGGCTGTCAAACTTTCTTTGCCTAAAAGTGGGGAGTCTAAGATCGGGGGGTATGGAATACCCCCAGCCACACACAGGTATACATTCCAGGAAAGAGGAATTGTCGGAATTCCAATAACAATTCGTGAGGGAGCATTTCTTTTCTGGAATGCATACCTGTGTGTAGCTGGGGGGTATTCCATATCCCCCAGGCCCCCCGGTCTTAAGACTCCCCACCAGATTGTTAAACTTTCAGCACTTTTGTGTTCATTTTCAGGGAGGGCTATCAAACTTTCTTTTCCTAAAAGTGGTGAGTCTAAGACCGGGAGGTCTGGGGGGTATTGAATACCCCCCAGGCCCCCTGGTCTTAAGACTCCCCACCAAATTGTTAAACTTTCAGCACTTTTATGTTCATTTTCAGGGAGGACTGACTGTCAAACTTTCTTTTCCTAAAAGTGGGGAGTCTAAAACCGGGGGGTCTGGGGGGTATTGAATACCCCCCAGGCCCCCTGGTCTTAAGACTCCCCACCAAATTGTTAAACTTTCAGCACTTTTATGTTCATTTTCAGGGAGGACTGACTGTCAAACTTTCTTTTCCTAAAAGTGGGGAGTCTAAAACCGGGGGGTCTGGGGGGTATTGAATACCCCCCAGGCCCCCTGGTCTTAAGACTCCCCACCAAATTGTTAAACTTTCAGCACTTTTATGTTCATTTTCAGGGAGGCCTGTCAAACTTTCTTTGCCTAAAAGTGGTGAGTCTAAGATCGGGGGGCCTGAGGGGTATGGAATACCCCCCAGCCACACACAGGTATACATTCCAGGATAGAGGAACTGTCGGAATTCCAATAACAATTCGTGAGGGAGCATTTCTTTCCTGGAATGCATATCTGTGTCTGGTTGGGGGGTATTCCATACCCCCAGGCCCCCCGGTCTTAAGACTCCCCATCAAATTGTTAAACTTTTAGCGCTGTTATGTTCATTTTCAGGGAGATCTGTCAAACTTTCTTTTCCCAAAAGTGGGGAGTCTAAGACCGGGAGGGACTGGGGGGTATGGAATACCTCCCAGCCACACACAGGTAATTCCAGGAAAGAAGAACTGTTGGAATTCCAATATCAATTCGTGATGGAGCATTTTTGATTATCTGTGTGTGGCTGGGGGGTATGGAATACGTGCACACGGACAGACTGACAGCAATACAAAGTTATAAACGATCGCGAGGATCGTTAATAGCAAGAATTCGATGGTCCTCTTTGAAAAAGAACTGAAATATTCCACGCAATTCTTTTATTAATTCCGCAGGTAGTTTACATTTTCTGTGTCGTCGCAGAAATTTGTTCCAACTCGAGTCCTTTGATCTTTTTCGTTGTGTTAGTTTTTCGATCATCTCGCCTTCAGCGAATTTTTTCATCCCGCATACATTTCGCATAATTATCGTCGGATTTCTTCATTTTCATAAATTAATAAGCGTTTCGTTGAAAAAACTCGTCCAAATCTCGACATCAGAGTCTCGCGTTCACTTAATGTGTTGTTTACTAACGAGGCGAGCAAGTTTTTGTTGTAATTATACAGCCGAAATTAATTAGTCAATGGCCGTCTCGCGATGGGGAAGGGTTAATAAAAGGCGTCGGAACGCTTCGCCGCTGAAGATTTTTGCGAATTTTTTCGCGGTTCTGCTCGCATTCATTAAGCGATCAAACAAACAGAAAATGAAGTACTTCGCGTTGCTTTTATTAGCGTCGTTATGCAGTGCATTAGCCAGAAAATTACGTAAGTGGGACGGAATGACTGAAAAGAGGTTGATGCAATTAATTTTAGCTTCAAGTTTTACAATTTGTAAACTCAATGATCCCAAGCTGAACGAGTGCTATTCCAGAGCGACCGAAAGGGCATTAAAAATATTGAGGGAGCGTAAGTATCGTCCCCTGTTTGTTACACGCCGTCCTCAGTGGAGTCGTAAATTTTTTTAGCAATTCCCGAGCTTTCGCTTCCGTCGATAGAGCCCTTAAAAATTGACAGAGTGGATGTACCTGCGGACTCGAACAGCATCAACTTTCGTCAAACCTTACTAAATATCGAGGTGTACAACCTGACGAACTCGATGGTGAACCGCAGTCAGTGAGTACCATCACCTCTTGGGATTCTCACCCCCACTCCGTTTCAGACTCACCTTCGGCGACGACACCTACCACATGAAGTCAATACTGTACAATCCACTAGTGACCATCAAGGGGATCGCCGAGCTTGACGGCAAAATTCTGGTGCTACAAATTAAGGACAAGGGACCCTTCGAGATTACCCTAGGTGAGTCCCACCCCCGCACCTCTCCCAACACCCACACCTAACCGATTGCAGAGAGAAGTACCGGAGTCTTCGAAATGAGCGGCCGAATCGTCGACAAGGGCGGCAAGAGGTACCTGACGGTCGAGCGGACCGCCTGCAAGCTTAAGCCCGACAACGCGATCATCAAGTTCGAGAACCTCTTCGAGGGGAATCGAGAGCTAGGCGAGATCGTCAACGCCGCTCTAAATGAACACTGGAGGGAGATCCTCGACGAGCTCGGATCGGCGTACGAGGAGGCGCTCGCTGCAATGTTGAAGGGATATGGCCAGCGTATAGTAAACAAGGTTCCGTTCGAAAATCTCTTCGCTCAATAATTTTTGGAGCTTAAGACAATAATAAATAAAAAGAATCATTGTTTTACTTAAGACGTGCATTTTTGGTCGGGGGGTGTGGGTGTGTAATACTCATTTATCTCCCCTTTCTTTTTTCTCGCCAGTTCTGTGTCTATTTTCCCTGGAGGGCAAAACAGTATTTCCAAAGTTGGACGACTAGAGGGTAGTTTAGGCTTCTGACAAATAACGTAATGCGTATTCTTATAATCAATGAATATCGCGTTTTATTGCTGAAGTTCGGAACCGGGTTATATACCAGCGCCCCTAATCACATAACACGCCACCGGAGGGATTCCATTCCACATTGATAAAACTGGAAGAACCTCCAAGTTGCAGCTTTCTCGCAATTTATTTTTTTTCGCTAATTTTGGTTTTGTTTTCTATTTCCGGTAAATATCTTTATTTTTTTAAGAGGTAAATTTTTAGTGAGTGAAGAAATAATAAAAACTTGACCAATAAAGGTCTAATATATAAAATCAAAGATCTAAATAAAACTGGTGCCTCTATTAATAAAATAAGGCAAATGACCATAGTAGTCGACGCCTCAGGATTTTCAGGGGTTTTAGTGGGTATACCCGGTATCCGGGGGAGCCCCCACACTCAGTGCGTTATTGCATTTCCTCTCCTGAAGAAAAAAAATTCGAGAAAGAGAACTGAGATTTCATTTAAAAAAAAAGTGTAGAACAAAAAATTCAGAACATTCCAGACACTAGAAAAATTCAGAAAATTTAAAAAAAACCTGCAAATGTCTATATAAAAATAAGTAAAATTCAAAAACGGGAAGCAATAAATTTCCAAAGTTTAAGGGAATTATAAAAAGAAAAATAGGAATTACGTTTTAAAACAAACGCAAAAAAATTTCTGGAATTTCTGGCTTCCCGCTTTTGTATAATACTTTTTTTTTTGTATAAACATTTGCAGTTTTTTTTTAAATTTTCTAAACTTTTAGTCTTTCTAGAAGTCGTTCTGGAATTTTCTGAATTTTTTTCTGAAATCTCAGTTGCCTTTCTCGAATTTTGGCTCCAATTTATATATCAGTTTATTTCATTTTTATACATTTTTGAATATTCGGAGTATTTTAAAAATTGCCAATTTTTTAGAATTGTTTAATTAAAAAAAATGATTTTCTCGAATTTGGATACTATACTTACTTTAAAAACATTTTGTATTATGGGGAATTTTTTCGTTTTCCGAAATTTTCTGGAGTTTTTAACTTTTTTACGTTTGTTTTGTAAATGTCCAATTCCTTTTTTTGTTTTTTTTGTAATTCCCTTAAATTTATGGAACTTGTTGCTTCTCGGAATTTTTCTGGAATGCTGATGACTCGTTCTGCAATTTACTGAATTTTTGTTATACACGTTTTTTTGTGAAAATTCGGTTCTCTTTCTCGAATTCGTGTATCAGCTTATTTCTTTTTTTATACATTTTTGAATATTTGGAGTATTTTCAAAATTGAATCTTATACTATACAAACATTTTGCAATAGGGGGAATTTTTTTGTTTTACAAATTTCTAGAAATATATATATATATATATATATATATATATTGTCGAAATTTTTATTTAGTCCATAACTTTTGATTGAGAGGTCTGATCGAAAAAGTACGAATCGAATTGTTTTGGATTCTATGCACCAAAATTAATAAGAAAAAGTGTTTTCTCGATAAATTTTGGTGCAGTCGATTTTTGGTAAAAAAGGAAGGTTATACACTGCCTTTTTTGAGCCCCGAGAAAAATATTGTCTCAGATCGACTCGAAAAAAAATTTCTTATAGAATGTGGCCTGTAGAATCCATAATTTCAAACAGTTCCAAGATTGGGCTACTAGTTCAAAAGTTACAGCCCTTTGAATTTTTTTTTCGAAATTGGTTTCTAGTCTATAACTTTTGATTGCCTGATCGAAAAAGTACGATTTGATTTGGATTCTACGCACCCAAATTAATAAGAAAAAGTGTTTTCCCGAGAAATTTTGGTGTAGTCGATTTTTGGTAAAAAGGAAGGTTATACACTGCCTTTTTTTGAGCCCCGAAAAAAAATTGTCTCAGATCGACCCGGAAAAAAAATTTTCTTATAGAATGTGGCTTGTAGAATCCATAATTTCAAACAGTTCCAAGATTGGGCTACTAGTTCAAAAGTTACAGCCCTTTGAATTTTTTTTCGAAATTGGTTTCTAGTCTATAACTTTTGATTGAGAAGTCTGATCGAAAAAGTACGAATTGGTTTGGATTCTACGCACCCAAATTAATAAGAAAAAGTGTTTTCCCGAGAAATTTTGGTGTAGTCGATTTTTGGTAAAAAAGGAAGGTTATACACTGCCTTTTTTTGAGCCCCGAAAAAAAAATTGGTCTCAGATCGACCCGGAAAAAAATTTTCTTATAGAATGTGGCCTGTAGAATCCATAATTTCAAACAGTTCCAAGATTGGGCTACTAGTTCAAATGTTCCAGCCCTTTGAATTTTTTTTCGAAATTGGTTTCTAGTCTATAACTTTTGATTGAGAAGTCTGATCGAAAAAGTACGAATCGTTTTGGATTCTACGCACCAAAATTAGTGAGAAAAAGTGTTTTCCCGAGAAATTTTGGTGCAGTCGATTTTTGGTAAAAAAGGAAGGTGCCTTTTTTGAGGTCGGAAAAAAAAATTGTCTGAGATCGACCGGGAAAAAACATTTTCTTATAGAGTATGGCCCGTAAAATCCATAATTTCCAACTGTTCCAAGATTGGACTACTAGATCAAAAGTTACAGCCTTTGAACTTTATATATATATTCCAAGAGCTCTTCTTTTCTGGAACCTGTATGTGGCTGGTGGAGGGTATTCCATACCCCACAGACCTCCCGGTGTAAGTACTCTTGTGGTCATTTTTTAAGGGAGTCCAACACCGCGGGACCTGGGGAGAATACCCCCTAGCCACACACAGATAAATATTTCAGGAAGGAAATATTCACGAATTTGGTTGAAATTGCGAGAGGTCATCTTTCCAGGAATGTATTCGATGATTTTCCAAGGAGGGCCGTCGATACAGCGACAAGGAATTTGGGAGATATAGAATACCTCAGGCAAAGAAAGTTCGATATTTCTCTTTAAAAAATTGTCGCGAAAGTGCTTTTGGGTTAACAATTTGGTGGAGACCGGCGGTATGGAAAATTTGTTTCATTGCATTTAGCTAGCCGACCGTAATAATGTTTTCAAGAACACTTCTTTAAAATCAAAATTATTAGTACGATCGGATATTTCGGTCCTGACTACAAATTACAATTTTGGCGCCCAACGTGGGGGCGAAACACTCCTGAAATTAGTTTGTTTTTTCTATGTTTTTTGTTACTGTTCCGATTTAGCTCCTTTGGTCACGTAAAAGACATTAAGATTGTGTTATCGCCCGTCAGACTGTCTCCACTAAATTTTCTGAGGCAATTAACCGATCTGGTGGCAAATGACACACATTTTTACGCCCCTTTAATAGAAACACTCATAATGCTGAAACCTAAAACTGGGCCACGTAAACGAAGACAAGAGTCGCATTGAATTGATGTATCTAAACTTGCCGAAATATAGGGTAATGGATTTGCGTCGTCCATCGGAAAATACTTACCTAATGAATGTACCCTCAGATACTTTCGATTTATATCGGATTAATCTCGAGAGTGGCCTTTCATTGTCTAACTGTTATTATTACGGTTTCGACCAATTAAACCGCACAGAAAACAAAACTGAAGTGGCGGTTTGGAAGCGTAAAAAATAAAGAGAAATGGGACAGTGCGGAGAGAGAGCCCGGCTATTTATTCGAAAGGGGCGCTTAATTCTCTCCACTTTATTTGTACTTCTTTTTATTTGACACAGCAGATACATCCTAATTCACTCCGTCCACGTACGATCACGTAGCACGTGTGACGGAAATTTTTTAACGAAAACTTCACCAGCGCTCGGGATTATCAAGCGATGCGACAGAAAAACAAAAAGTCAAATAAAAAAGAAGTTAATGCTTAAATGTGGAAAGTAGGGTGGAAATAAAAAGTAATTTTGTGTTCGTAACCGTTTTTTATGGTGTTCTCAGAAGTGTATATAAATACGGACGTTTTCGGAAGGTAGGGACTTCGAAAAGGAAAACGCGAGACAGGCGCGGCGCGTTGCGAAAATCGATACCGTCTTATCTCGCTAACGAAGTTTTATGGCTATTACTACAAAGAGCGCTGTTTTGCCTTTTTAACCCAAAAACTGAAATCGCGATCCACTTCGAAGTCGATTTACATCTCATATTCACTTCTAACTTTATATAACTCGATTTCGTTTGCCAACTCGAGTTTTTGTTCACATTTGCCTCGTTGACAGATTCGTAGATTGCCAGTGATGCATTTGATTAGATTAAGGAATTAATCGGACTTTTGCTATTGATTCATCGCATTTTTTTTCTTTTAGAAAATGTCGGCATTGTCACATTGTCCGCCTGTACCTTGGCGATTGTCGTTCTCTGCGAGGATTATCTGTTTTTGGTGCCGGGTGGAGTCGTCGGTAGTTCTTAATTCCCGTCCGAAAGTGATGTATTTTTTGGCGGGTAATTTTTCTGACCACTGGCTATGGTCTCCTTTTACTAATATAGCTAGATGACCTTTGACGTCCCTGTCTTTCCTCACCACTGGATTTTCTTGAGGGGTGGTATACAGGACTTGGCGCCTGGTGGATGTTCAGATAAAAGGTGACGTGTTACTTGACCCTGGCGTTTTTAGTGCACTTCGGGCAGTCACTACGAGTTTCTCCTGGTCCTCCACAGCAGTAACAATGCGGTTGGGGGCGGAAGCTATAGTGGCCTTTTTGTCCTCCCTCTTTCGTTTGCGGCACTCTTCTTGGATATGTCCGGTGAAACGGTAGTAGGCACACCGAGAGCACTTGTCCTGTTTGGTGGTTGTTTATTTTGACGGGTCTTCTATCCTGGTGGCCTCTTCCATCTCTCGGACTTCCCCAACGAGGTCTTTTTACCGCTGTTGCTAAAAGAAACTTTAAATATGCAGAAATATGCTAGTGCTCGGCTAGAATATGCTAGA